CCTTCGCTTGTCATCATTTTACAACATGATGGTTTGCTGCAAATGTGACTAAAAGCTCAATTAGTTTTTCAGTTCCTACACTCAAACTAGTTAAAAATTCAACATCGCCATAGTGCATCCAGTTTTAAACTTGCCTTTTGAATGATACCAGAGACTTTGCTAACTCCAGATAAATCTATTTTGTCAATTAATAGCAATTTCATGTGTGCATAGCATTTTCCATTTGTTGAGTGGGTGGGTGGGTGGGAAAATATACATAATATATTGCCCTAGTATTTCTTGATAAAAAAGATTGGTGGAAATATTAACTTGCACTCATAAACCATGAAGTAGCCAGGCATCCTTAACCAAATCAACATTAGTTAATGGTTGAAATAATACTTTCTTCTTGAAACCATTTCTACAATTCTGCTAGTTATTAGGAAATAGGAGCTGTATCAAAACTAAGCAGTGTTGTCAAATCAGTGTTATAATAAAAAAATAACACTGGAAAAAATGACATGACCATTTTTCACATTTATGACCATTGCAGCATCGCCCTGATCACATGATTTACATTCAGATGCTTGACAATTGGTTCATATGTATGATGGCTCCAATGGGATCATGTTATCATTTTTTTGCAATTTTCTGACAACCAAAGTCAATGGGGAAGCCAGATTTACTTAACAGCTATGTTACTAACTTAAAAACTGCAGTGATTCACTTAACAACGGTGGCAAGGGAAGTTGTAAAATGGGGCAAAATTCACTTAACATATACCTCACTTAGCAACCTAAATTCTGGACTCAATTGTGGTCATAAGTTGAGGACTACCTATACATATGATGGAAGACTTGAAATCAACATTAGTCTTGGATCTCACTTAGAAAGATTCAGTGTTGCCTGGAAGCAGGCAGCTTCAACATTAACAGAATGAAAAGTGGACATTTTGTCAACGTGTTGGTTACAAGCCAAAGAAAGATGTTGCTTCTCAAAATGTAAGATATTCCTATTCCTCAGACGCATCACTGGACAAAGGGATAATAGATGCCTAGCAAAAAGATATCACTTGTAAAGTTTGTTTGGAGCCATGTTGGTGCAGTGGTTAGAATGCAGTACTGCAGGCTACTTCTACCGATCGCCTGCAGAATTTGGCAGTTCATCTCACCAGGTTGATTCAGCCTTCCATCCTTCTGAGGTCGGTAAAATGAGGACTCAGATTATTGGAGGCAATATGCTGACTCTGTAAATCACTTAGAGAGGGCTGTAAAGCACTGTAAAACAGTATATAAACCTAAGTGGTATTGCGGTTGCGATTATTTTATCCAACCTATACTTTATATACTGTATGAACTAGTGTTTGAAACAGTGTTGACATCCATATTGACAACCTTGGCAACTTTAAGATACATGGACTTCAATTTCCAGAATTCCCGAGGCAGGATGGGTTGAAGATCTATCAATGTATTATAGTCCTGGTTCTGACTGGACTCAACAACTATAAAAGTCAGCAAAAATAATTATTTTTCCAGGATTGGGTCACAATAAACAGATAAAAAGAATACAAAACAAATGTATTCTTTCTCATCTGAGCAAATATAGAACAGCTATTTTTCCTTAAAAAAGAGGAGAAAAATCAAATAAATCAAATGTAGCCCTTTTGAGGTAGTTAACATTTTTGTGAGACAGTGTCACTTGATAAATGTTTTATATGTGCTATCAAAATATTATTAATAAAAATATTAAGTTTAATAACTCAGTGGCTTGTGTAATAGGAATAGGAATCATAATGTGCATTGCTATCCACTTCCTTGGAATAAGGCAGGGATGGTAAAATACATTTTAATATGCATAATGGAATTTATCATGCATTTATTCTGAGTTTTCCAGATCAAATGGAGTGTTCTAAGTAATCTCAAAGTTTATGCAAGTTGCTTTTGCTCAAGTAGTTTATTTTCAATTAGGATTCTTAACAGGTTAGTTCCTCCAGCTTATGGTAGCAATTAATGCTATATTACTGCGGATTTAGCACTCCCTGCAGGACAAAAGAGGTACTCAAAGTAATTATTACCAGTCATGCAAATAATAAACATTAAATAAAGTTCTGACAACTTAGTGCTTGATATATTTTAAACAATTGCTTATAAATTAAATTTTATACTCTAATTTATGTAAGATTTTTTGTATAAATATTAATGACAACTAAGGAATACATGTCTCTCTTTTACTAGTTATTTTTGTGAAGAATCTTAGTTCCAAATGTAATGAAAACAATAAAGACCCCAAATTCAAATAGTATATTTTCTTGAGTGTAATATTTGGCAAGAACAAAGGACTCTATAATTTTTTCATCAATTAACTTACCCAAAACAGAAACAAAGTGATGCGATTCAAATTTTTTTACTATCGGTTTTGTGGGTGTGGCTTGATGGGCATGGCAGGGGAAGGATACTGTACAGTCTCCAGTCAGAAATGGTATTTGCTGGTTCTCCGGACTACTCAAAATTTCCGCTACCGGTTCTCCAGAACTGGTCAGAACCTGCTGAATACCACCTCTGAAAGCACTGGAGTATACCTATTCAACATCCTGCCAGCATTACAGATGCCTTACTCTGAATGGGTCAATTCAGGCACAGAGATGTGAAGTTCCACATTCAGATCTATATATACAGTACACTCAGCATGTTTAACATTTTTTGTGAAATATGAAAAAGAGGAACTAGAGATCAAATTGCCAACATACACTGGATCATGGAGAAAGCTAGGGAGTTCCAGAAAAACATCTACTTCTGCTTCATTGACTATGCTAGAGCCTTTGATTGTGTGGATCACAACAAACTGTGGCCAGTTGTTAAAGAGATGGGAGTACCAGACCATCTTATTTGTCTGTTGAGAAACCTACATGAGGGTCAAGAAGCAACAGTAAGAACTGGACACAGAACCACTAATTGGTTCAAAATTGAGAAAGGAGTCCGGCAAGGCTGTATACTGTCACCCTGCCTATTTAACTTATATGCAGAGCACATCATGAGAAAGGAGGGGCTAGATGAATCACAAATTGGAATTAAGATTGCCAGGAGAAATATCAACAACCTCAGATATGCAGATGATACCACTCTAATGGCAGAAAGTGAAGAGGCACTAAAGAGCCTCTTGACATGGGTGAAGGAGTGCAAAAGTTGGCTTGAAACTCAACATTAAGAAAACTAAGATCATGGCATCTGGCCCTCTCAATTCCTGGCAAATAGATGGGGAAGAAATGGAGGTAGTGACAGATTTTATTTTCCTGGGCTCCAAGATCATACCGCAGATGGGGACTGCGGCCAAGAAATTAAAAGACGCTTGTTCCTGGGGAGGAAATCTATGGCAAATCTAGATAGCATACTAAAAAGCAGAGACATCAGCCTTCAACAGAAGTGTGTATAATCAAGGCTATGGTTTGCCCAGTTGTAATGTATGGCTGTGAAAGTTGGACTATAAGGAAGGCTGAGCACCAAAGAATTGAGGCCTTTGAACTATGGTGCTGGACAAGACTCCTGCGAGTCCCCTGGACTGCAAGCTGATCAAACCGGTCAGTCCTAGAGGAGATCAACCTGGACTGCTCTTTAGAAGGGCAGATCCTGAAGATGAAATTCAAATACTTTGGCCACCTAATGAGAAGGAAGGACTCAATGGAGAAGAGCCTAATAATGGGAACAATTGAGGGCAAAAGAAGAAGAAGAACGGGACGGCAGAGAATAAGGTGGCTGGATGAAGCAGTAGGTGTGAGCTTAAATGGACTCCAGAACATGGTAGAGGACAGGAAGGCCTGGAGGAAAGTTGTCCATGGAATTGTGATGGGTCAGATACAACTTCGCAACTAACAACAAGTCCTCAGAGCTTTCAGCGTACATTTATCAAGTATATAGGGCAAACTAGAATATTTATTTATTCAACATTGGCTATTTGTGGGTATAAAAGCTTACAGAGAAAAGCCCTCATATCGTTTTTTGTAACTAAAGAATAGCTTCTTTTCAACAGGTCTCCTATTGACATCCATAAACAAAACCTAACCAGGAACCTGTTTTTAAAATGTGAATAGCCTGAAAATAAAAAGGCTGAAAAACCACTTTTTCATACTTAGGAGATTGTAAAATGTATTTTGTTTAGAACTTTTTAAATCCACTTGAGAATCGATTATCAAAGGAACACCTAGAAACATTTACAATATTATGCCACTTGACAGCTGAGGATTTTTTGACAATATGGTAGAAAAAGAGTTTAGTTTTCAATGATAGCTAATTGGTCTAAAGGGAATCCTTCAATAACAATTCAAAAGAAATATTTCAGATCTTGTACAAACTCTGCATCTACTATTCAGAAAATCAGTCTTTTTTTCAGGCTTCTGTAGAGACCTGCAACAAAATGGCTATTTTAAAGGATTGATTCATCAACATTAATGTGATTCTTAAAGCAGCCACATTGCCTTTTAGGCTCACATGCAAGAATTAAATAAGCTGAATTACTTAAAAAAACAGCAGAAAGATTCTATAATGGCATACAGTTTGAATCATTTCTGTAATTTGCAGAGCCCTAGCAAAGAATAGTCAGTCAGTCAGTCAGTAAACAAATAAGGAAAAAAGTATCTTCCACAATGTACTGTATTAAGGAAAAGCACTGTGATTTTGAAAGTAGGACTTGGAATTATAGTTTAGTTCAACAGTTCCCAAGTTGTGTGCGGTTAATAAACTCACAGGGGCATCATGGAATATTTTAAATTTTTGCTCCATTTATTTGCAAAGTTAGGTTTGCAATGTCCAATCTTTGTGAAGCTGATTTTTGGCAGTTGCTGTGAAAAAAGCAGGCATTGTGTGAAAATCAATGTAGAACAGGAAATGAGGGTGGAGGTGTCCAATCTGATTCCAAGATTTGAGAAGTTGTGTGCCCAAACATACACAGATTCCTTTAATAATTGTGATTATTTAAGAATAATTTTAAGAAACCATTGGAATTTATGTGTTTGTTTTTTTTCAAATGACTATTACATTGTTAGGACACAAAATCTTCCTGTTTGAACCTATCTATTTAATAAATAAAATTGTCAAAACATTTCCTTTGGTCAAGAACTGCCATGAAAAAATTACTGAAACGCTAATGGCCCTGTGAGTCAAGAAAGATTGAAAATCTCTGGTTTAGTTGATGACATTTAAGCGGAATATAGTTCTATCAGTTACTGTTGCAACAATCTCTCTTGAAATTCATGAGGAGAAAAAAGGCACTAGATCTTCTCAAATGCCAGAATTCATGTTTCTTAACAAGGTAAATATACTCAGACAACTTTAACAATACTTAACAGCAACAGTTATAAAAGTATACATTTGTGACTAGGACAATACAAGCTTATATCCTCTCAACTGTTGAGAAAACTGTAACAGTATTTGCAGTTCCTTTTACTTCTGGTCAATAAAGCAGTCAAGGTAGTTTTAAACCAATATAAATAATTGTTTTTAGAATAATTTAAAGTAATTCATCCATTGAAAGAATGCACAGATATTTTATACATTTTTTTTACAAAACCATACATCAGCAATTAACATTAAGAAACATTATTTCACTACGCTTAAGGGTGTTATACTGAAAGTCTGTCCCTCCTAAAAAAGCAAACCATTCAGAAAGAAAACTGAATATTTTAGATATTTTTAAACATAAATTAAAAGTACAGATCAAGTTGCACAGGTTTACTTTTTTAGATCTATATGCATGCACAAAAATCCAATATGGAAAATGACTAACAATTTGTTACTTCATGTTTAAAACGTTTTGCTGTATTTCCAGATGCTTTACCCCAGCTGAAATTCCTAACACTCTTATTTATATGACTCATTGATTCCAATGTGCTCACTAGTGACTGTATTTTAGAAATACAATATAATTGTCTCATGAATTAGAGGAATTTATCACAGAATGAATACATTAATAGGGAAGGCATCGTGCTAGATTTCAGATATCTGGACTATCTGAGTAATTCCCTAAATACAAAGAACATATTTCTGCTCCCAATGCCCCAGTTTGATTATTCTCCAAGACAACCATTCAGAAAGTTCATAGTGGAATCTGTCTCATGAGCCATTCAACTAGCAAATGATAACTTCTCTTTCTGAAAAGGATCTTTACATAACAATTGCTGCTTCCACCTCTAGCGTCATCAAAGTGTGGCTTGCTATCTCTTCAAAGTCTCCTTGAGCATGTCAGTTTGGAATTGAGAACTTTATATAGTTCAGCTTTGATAAGTTGGAGAATAGTCTGGCCGCCTAGTTTTAATAATTTTTGGCTTTGGTTTCTTGACTTCTTCCATTGTTTCGGCGGACTCAAGTTCCTCATTACTTTCACATATATGGACCACCACGCTAGGAGTAGTTTCAGTTGCAGCATGAAGTTCATACTGAGCCCCTAAAATGTATTTAAAAAAAATAAGTGATAATAGTACCACTTAATAACACATACAATTTCCCAATTGAATTTATTGCATATTGCCATTGATTAAACAGTTGCAACATGATGAGGAATATAATATCTAGCTGCTTAGCTTTCTGAATCCAGAATGCTGCTCCCAGATTTCCAATAGAGAATTTGGAAATATCTAAAATTTTCTCAATTTTGATAAAACAAAATATTCTCTTTTATTACTTTTGCGTAAAGAACTGCACCAGAACTGACTAAATTAATTTTATTTATCATATGAATATCATTTTTTCTCCCCCCCCATTTATGTTTATTTTATTTTAATCGAAGTAACCTATGTAGTTTCTTACTGCATTATAGCTGATGCACTATTTCCTCCTCTTTTTTGTTTTACTTTACTAATAAAAAAATAAAAAATAGGCCAAAAAACGTTAAGGAGTCCATTGCTAGTTCCTGATTGTTTCATTCCTTAGTCCTGTTCCTAATTAATCCTTTTAAATAATTCTAAACACAAATATGACTTCTATGGTCATACATTCCTTGAAAACGATTAAATTTTAAAGGAGGATATATTTATTTATTTACCTTAAGCTTTTAACAATTTTTAAAGGAAGTTACACAGGAAGCTAAAAACATTATGGAAACACGTTTTACTGATGCATTCTCCTTTTCCCATCCGTTCGTTTCCCCAATCTAAATATGTGTACTACAAATTGAATATTTAAGGTTATTGCTTGTATCTGAAACAGAAATGAATGACACCTTGAAAATGGTTTAGAAGTACTTTGGACCAAGTAAACTTCTGCTAAAGTAGTCCAACATATTACCATGTTCTGCATGAGTCTGAAGAAAATACAGGTATCTTTTACTTACGATCGGTCCCTTAGTGCCCATTTGAAATGACTCTTTAGAGTGACCCTCTAAAATGTACTTATAAACCATATTTGAAGTTCTGATGGCTGTCCCTCCCATGGTCATGGGACCACATTTTGTGAACTTGGCAACTAGTCTGCATTTTTGACCATTTTCAGTGTTTCACGGTATGTGCCCACAATCTACAGTTTTGTCAGAAACCAGCTTCTACATTCAGTTTCTGGCAAAACACTCCCATAACAACAATGGGTTCACTTTATAACAACAGCATTTGCTTTAAGAGTTCTACAAAAAAAAGGTTGTAAAGTCAGACATGGTCACCTACTTAATGACTGTCACTACTTGCAACCATAATTGTGGGCTCAATTACAGTTGTAAGACGAGGACTACTTGTATACAACTTCTTTAAGCATGTACTTTAATGGGTAATAGAGCTACTTCTTAGAGCAGCATTTTTTTCCAGGCTCACATGGAAGTCTAGAATAAAGTTCCATACTTTATGAGTTTACATTTTACACACACACACACACACACAGAGAGAAAGAGACTAATATGATTAAATAAATTAAACAGGAAAAAATAACATGAATTTGAGTTATTAAGAATTCAGATTTAAAATGTCTTACCTGGTCCTAATTTGGAAATTGCATATAAAAGATCATAATTAATAGCAGGTTTAGCATCATCTGCTTGTTCCCAACCAACAGGAGGAGAAGATGGAGGAGAAATCAGGAATTGTTTCTCTGGATCAGGCGGTGCTAAGTGCGTATTTCCAATATACAATCTCTATAAAGTTATCAAAAAAAAAAAAGCATTCCTATGTTTATTATGACCATTATATGAAATGAAATGAAAAAGATGGCATGCATATAGTTGGGCTGTTTTGCACATCACCTCATTTCTATTTATAAAAAGAGCCTGCTCATTTTTTAGGCTTTTGTACAAGCTTCCACTGCTTGAAGGAATCTACTCATTAGTGACTTTACGGCAGTGGCAACTATCTCTTTGTGTGAAAAACTAGAAAAGATCAGGCTGATATAATGCTGCTGGGCTACTCATGGATTGAGTATGCATGAGACAATAAATATTCAAGACATAAAATAATAGAATCTTCACAATATTAAGATCAAGAATAGAGTATCATAACTTCAGTTAAAAAACTAATTAAATAAAACTTCAAAATATAAAAGGTTCGAGCATTCACATAAAATCATAGTTAATGAGAAAAGGCTATGTAGGTTTTATACAGCAAAATAAATACTTTAAACTTGGTTTGGTAACAAGACCAGCAATTAGTCCATTCCCTTTAAGAAGATATATATGTTCAAACAACTTCCTCTCCTTCAGTCTTTGGTATTCAGCTGTGGCATCTGGGCCAACTGTATAGGCTACTCCATGTAAAGCTCACTGTAGTAATCTCATGTTCAGGTTAACAGCTCATAGATGAATTTGGCCAAGTCTAAAACTGAATCTTGGTGTTGTTCTGAAAAAGTTACTCTTTTCCACTTGCCCCATTGTGGGTAATGATTACTCCAAGAGCAACCAGACTCAGAAGGAATGGAACCCGTCAACAATGGGCAATTTCTCTAATTTCATAGAACCTCTAATTTCATAGTACCTTCATCTTGTTTTCATTCAGCATCACCTTACTGGCTCTCACTCAACCTACCACTGCATCCAGATGCTGATCAAATGACTGTATGATACTTTGTGTTTACATAATCAAGAGAAGCAGAGCTGGATACCCTCATGAAAACTCACTCCAAATCTCAAAAAAAAAGTTCTTGGCCGACTATTTCATACAGATTTTAAATATCATTAAGAATAAAATGTGACTACACAAAAATTTACAGGTTAATTGTCCTGTGGCTGTCATATAATCATCCAAAATTATCTTCCACCTTGAATAATTTTGTTGTAAGAACTAGGCAAGAGCCTTTCAAAAACAAACGAATCCTATAACCAGAGAAGATAAATGCTAGAACAATATTATCCTTGAAACATGACCTTACAGGTACAAATGGTACATTCTGACCTGACTTCATAATCCATAAAGCTGTTCTAGAAGAATGTCCTATTAATCATTGAGGTTGAAGAAGATCAGTAATAATGGGAGACATTATAGGTCAAGATGGCAAAGACTGATTCAGCTCCACAACCAGCCTGCATACTAAGGTTGCTGATTATGTTATATGTAGAAGAGGCTTGTCCTCTCCCATATCAAGCATGGAAACCCAGCTGATCTTACTATTAGCAGTTAGTAATGGAAATTACAGATCAGTAATCTTAGGTGTGCTTATTTAGAGGACAATTGCAGCTAGAAAAACAATTCCAAGAGCAAAATAGTGATTGCTTCTGATAAAGCATTCTGAAATAGATCACCAGTACCATCATACAAGAAAGTATCATTTGATAACTCATTTTGGTTATAGCACATTTCCATTTTAAAAACCATTCAAGACTACATGATCCCTTAGCAACTCATGCAGTACTCTGACCCTCCCACTTCATAGTAGAGGTGACTTTTGTTTTCCATTATTTGAAATGGAGTCTAAACAATATTATTTTTAATGAATATTTCTGCAAATGTACAAATTGTGATAGATTTTTTTTTGTTATTTTCCTATTTATTTGAGCTTTTGACCATGTATAATGTTCTGTATGGACATTTGGATTCTTGGAATACTGCACTCCTGATTGGCCAAATGCACAGCAACTGGATTGGTCGAGTGCGCGACACTGATTGGCTGTTACGAAGCGACCGCGATTGGCCGAGCCGATCGCAGGCGATTCGAACAGCTGTCATTGGCCGCGGCGCCTGGCACCAGTTCAATATAAGCCGCCGCATACTCAGCCGGCGGCAGATTCAGTCCTGAAATAAAAAGAGCTTAAACTAGTCACTGCCTCACGTCATTTGTGATCGATTGGCCGATACAACATATAATTTATTTTTATTTATTGCCGTTTTCTTTTCTTTTAATATTGATTTTATTACTTTATTGCTTGTGTCACCTAAAGAATATGTGTTAAGTAGCCAATATAAACTAAAACATTCAGGTATACTTATGTCCTAATTTAAATCCTGAGATGGAGAAAGGAAAATAATACTCTGATGACATCAAGTTCAATTTTCCTATATTTTTAGACATTTCATGGAAACTTTTATAGCTGAACTGCAGAAAGGGAGGGAGAAAGAGAGGGAGGGAGAGAGAAAGAGAGAGAGACACTTAGGGATGAACTGTGATAATTCTGCGTCTCCCAGAATCTATAATTTATTAAGTAATTTTTAATGGCCAACTTTTATTTCATTTCCTGAAGTAGGAGGCCAAACATCAAATCTACACAGAGTTTAGTTCTGGTTTGGAAGCTCTACTTACAAAAGTCTCTATTAATATCACTAGAGAATCAATAGGTAAGTGGAAAAGCTTTTTGGAATAGCCGACCACGCAACATGTGCCTTTTTTCTGAAGTATCTCTGAATATTTTAAAATATCAGCTAATTAAATAAACTGTACATATGATATAGATGCATGCAATAGATAGAAATAAGTGAAATTTAGTTATAAATAATGTAAGTTTCACTGATTTCTAGCTCATATATTGCAAAGGAAAGGTATGATGTATTCTAACCAGTACAGTAGAGGAACGGGAAACTAAGCAGAAAATAAAAATATAAGAACTGTTTAAAAAGCTATTAAAATATAACTGGTTAGATTACCTTGTCTTACCTGAGCAAAATATAGTTTAATTTCCTTTCCAAGAAATTCTGTCTTGTGCAACTGAATTTTAACCTCAGCTGCTGATAAAGGATTGCTGAAGTTCAGCCTTATTCTTTTAAAACTCTTGAAATAATGAAAGGTGACATCTTTGTCATATGTTTTAAACAGAGCTTCAAATCTGGCCTGAAAAATAAATATGTGAACAGTTAACAAGAATATAGCATTCCTGCCTATTGTTTATTGATCTATAAACAAAGATAGAAGTATTTCAAGAGTTTCACATTCTGAATTAAATACAATTCATAAATAATCTACAACCCCCCCCCAAAAAAAACACAAGCACATTTTCTGCATACTTGGGCTCCTATGCCTCTAAAGTTTTTGAGTACAGCTACTAAGACCTTGCCCAATGGTTGTTACTGAATTTTTAATGCAATTGTTAAGAAAAAATGGTTAATAACTACATTTATTTAACTGCATTGTACGTTAGTTAAATATAAATCCAGATAAAAACAAATTTAATAGACCAGTTGTCTCTCTCACTGTCAACATCTCTTGCAGAACCTAAAACCTACTAATCCTACGTAGCTTTTTCTCTGGTAATATCACACTACTAATTAGAGAATACAAAACATTTGCTAGACCAATACTTGAATACAGTTCATCAATCTGGAACCCACATTATGTATCTGATATTAGCACAGTTGAGAAAATCCAGAAAGATTTCACAAGAAGAGTTCTCCACTCCTCTACTCGTTGTAGAATACCTTATGCCACCAGACTTGAAATTCTAGACCTAGAAAACCTTGAATTATGCCGTCTTCAGTCTGATCTAAGTATGGTATATAAAATCATGCATTGCAATGACTTACCTGTCAATGAATACTTCAGCTTCAACCATAACAACACAAGAGCACACAACAGATACAAACTCAAGGTTAACCGCACCTGATTGCAGGAAATACGACTTCAGCAGAGTGGTCAATGTCTGGAATACTCTACCTGACTTGTGGTTTCTTCCGCAAACCCCAAAAACTTTAACTTTAGACTGTCTACTATTGACCTCACCCCTTTCCTAAGAGGTCTGTAGGGGGCATGCATAAGCGCACCAACGTGCCTACTGTCCCTGTCCTATTGTTTCTTTTATTTTTCTTATATGTACCCATTTCATAGTTATGTATTCATAACTATGTATATACCTATATCTATTATCTTGTAAGCGATTGACAAATCAAAAGAAATAAAAAATAAAAGAAAAACCCCTCCTGTCTTCTTCTATACTTTACTTCCCAATGCTTATGTGTCAGCTTGCAAGTGCCCCCAGGAAGATTAATTCCCCCCTCCCCCACCAGCTTGTATGTCTAGTAGCATTACCCCAAATTCCCCTTGCTATGTATATTAGTGCAAAGAAGAGCCATGTTCTCAAGATAGACTCAGTTTGGGTGGCAAAAAAGAAAAAGTTACACTACAATCCTCTGGGAGGGGCAACTGAGGAGCAGCTCAAAATTTTGTGACTGCCCTCTTCTAAGTTCCCCTCTCTCCCTTCCGGTCGCATGACTCAGAGCCTATGCTCCCTCTCCTGTGGTTTTCAGTGCACACATAGGCAAAAACAGCAGACACAACAAAAAAGCAGAAACATATATGGATGGTGTATAGAAGAAGGACCAAAAAGAATCCAAGAAGCCACATTCTGCATGTTTCCCTACTTTGTTTTCTCTTAAGAAGATTTGTGATCAGTACTAAACTGAACACATCTTTATTTGTTTTTAACTAGGTAAAGGCATCCTTTATTTCTATATAGAAATATAGGCACCCCCAGTGGCAGGTTTCCATTCTAATTATACATGAACATTGACCAGATAGGGGGTATTACATACAAACTTAACCAGAATGCAGAGAAAAGACTGAAAATTGCCTACTCCTTTCCTTGTAAACCAGTGACTCTACAACTCATGCATGACATATCTTTGTTTGTTTTTAAACTGTTACAGTTGCAGGGAAGGGAACAAATCAAATTCAGAATCACTGGGAGGAATCCTCCAATTTTGTTATTCATAGTAGCAATAGCAGTAGCAGTAGCACTTAAGACTTATATACTGCTTCACAGTTCTTTTACAGCCCTAAGTGGTGTACAGAGTCAGCATATTGCCCTCAACAAACTGGGTCCTCATTTTACTGACCTCGGAATGATGGAAGGCTGAGTCAACCTTGAGCTGCTCAGAATCAAATTCTTAGAGGGAGCAATGAGTTAGCCTGCAGTACTGCATTCTAACCACTGTGCCACCATGGCTCTTACATATCAGAACAGAGACAGGCTATTTCATGAGTTAGCAACAACAGCAAAAATCCCCCAACAAGCTATTGAATTGAATTGAAATATTTTAATTTTTAATCTTGTGGTGGCCAGAAGAACGGAACAATAAGGCAACATATATATTGGTTTTATTACATACCACAACTATCAACACTATTGCTCAATATCCTGTGGAAGATTATCTATTTGGCAGGGCTGCAAATATTACCTATATCATCCAGTTCAAAGAACAATTATTTCAAAAACAGTAACTAAAATGTAAAATTGAGCTATGAGCTACATTGTTAGCCATATAAATAGCCATCAGCATTATAATATATAAAAGAAAACTTAAGCTATACTGAATGTGTTACTAACATAGACTTTAACAGATCTATGAAAAATGTTTAACAGATATATTTCTGTCACCATCATCCTGTTCCAGGAAAATCAGCATCAACTACAGCTGCTTCTTACAAAATCAGAACATGTAGCTCACTCTTTGTCTTTCCTAGTCATCCCTTGGATGAAAATTATATGCTGTTTTATTGTCCGTCTTCTTGCTTGCTGTGCAGCTATAGCCAGTCCCGTAGGATGGGTCTTGCTAGAAGATGGTTAATACTGCTTTGGTTGTATGAGCAACTCTAGAGAAACTATATAGCACATCCCAATCATATGTGACAATATAAGAAATATGCAAAACGAGTAGGGTAAAGATGGAGGGTAAAACTTGATATAGTTTAATGAGGACACTGAGTGCTGCAATGTCTGAAGTAAAGTCTGCATTTAAAAAGAACTTCATAAATACGACAGTTGCTGGCCTCCCAAAAATATTTTTACTAGTCTGCCTTCATGTACATAAATCTGCCAATAACTGCCTTTCCTATTGAGGCACTGCTATTGGAACAGCCATTAGAAATGTTAAGCACATACTCAACCCACATTTATGTTTCCACTATTAATAAAAATAGATGCTATCTTTAAAATTTAAGGTGAAAGAACTAGGAGTGGAATTTAGAAGGAGACAGTGTTTTTATATCTTACTTTTTATTCACCAGCAGGAGCAAAACATAATTATCTCACTTTAGCTAACCTGAAAAATTAACCACTAACTGAATTATTATGATTCTTAAAATATTATAGCTGATAAATAAAATATTCAAATCAACAATAAAATTATTAGCATGGAAGACTTTATTATTTAATTACATCTTAAAATAATCACTGTAATTGTTTTATTTTATTTTATTTTAGAATTATAATTATTTTAGTATTTATATGAAAATTTGAAATCCTTAAAAAGTAAAACATTCAGGAAAATGCAAGGCTGTTCCTTTACAACTACAGTTATTTGAGGTCCAAGGAATGTAGAAATAGATAAATGGAATGAAAAACAAATAAAGCATAGAGTAAAATATTGGAAATGAAACACAATATGACATAAAATATGGAAAAATTAGCAACTAAAAATATTATACTAACCTAATGAAAATAAGATTAAATTCCAAAAATACTGTTCTTGTATATGCTAAATACTTCCAGTTATAATTAGAGAGCATCATTTACTTTTATGTCGCTAGATAAATGTACATTTCTGCTGGAATTTGGGAAGTTGAAGAATTTTTAATACTGGTAGACTACCAAACTATGATTTAATGAGAATATATCCCATGAAATTCTTAAGACAGATAAGACTGTTAATCTTTAGTTCTTCTGTTCCAGTTATTTGTACAGTGCCAACTAATATTGTTGCATTCCCAGCACACTCAGAAGCATTGTGTGCATAACCAATGGAAGCATTAAAGATTTTATCTTCTACCCGAAATACTTGAGAACTTGCAAATAAAATATTTTGTTAACTATTTTATGAGTCTTTACGATCTTGCAATTTAAAAACATGAGAAATTTCTAAACCACACAAAAACATCAAAGGAACATAAGCTTCTCTACCTTAAAATGTGAACAGTGCATCTGTTATTCTGCTTCACTTTCTAACCAATTCAATATTCTCAACACACTCACGTTTCCCAGTATGCAATATAAACCTTTCTCTAAAGCAGTTTTTTACATCCAAAAGTCTTACCCTAATTTCAGGTTGACTGAAAATCTTGTGGTCTGCAACACAAGCAATCAAGGAACCAAAAATGTAATCAAAGTTCCTGAAATGCATTTTTGCCTTCTTGTAAAGATTGCCAGGAGCTCAGCACAAGACCAAGAAAAACTCTTTTTGAAGAAGCAGTTCAGTACTGGAAAGACAGCTTATAAAAGAGACTAAGTCCAGCCCCTTGGCAAGCACAAAAAACCCCAACACCCCAAGTTTTAGAGTATCCTGTATGTGACAGCAAATTCCTGAGCAAAGTTCTGCCACATAAGTTTCAGGCTGTCAGGGACAAAATGTAAGCTTCAGCTGGAAAGAGGTGACGTAAGCATGTTAGTCACTTTCCCTATGCTAATTAACTTTGCTCTGGAGTATGGAAAAAACAGCTGAAGTTTTCATAGGCAGCTGCTTTATCAACTCCTCCTGCAGCATAGTTTCCATTGCTAGTAACTCCATTTAGCACTCAGACAACATACTCTTCACTTGAATAGGACAACCCATTTTAAGATGGAAAAAGTTACTATTTGAGGACTAAGGTTAGCTGCAATAAACAGCAATTAGCTGGCAGGAAATATTTCAAGACTTTGGAAAACTAAGAACAAATCTTAGTCACTATGGAGTCAAAGCCTATATATGTTTACTCAGAATTCACTCCCACGGGTCTTAATGAAACAAATATAGCACTCCTAAGATTGTATTTTCCATGACTGAGATAGTTTTAAAATGAATTATTGGGGGGTGGAGGGGATCAGTTCGAGTTATGCTGGCTGTTTTGTGGCTAAGAGGCTCATT